GAAGGGAAGGGAAGGGAAGGGAAGGGAAGGGAAGGGAAGGGAAGGGACTGCAGAGACTCTAAGCAGTACACTGTTGTGCTTTACTGTAAGATAATAAAGAGTGGTTTCTGTCCACCAAAACTGCTAAAACAACAGCTGCACTTCAAGGAGACTTGGAGGCTGCAATTAATAATTGGTATCTCTTGTTCTAAAAATATCAAATAATTAACACTTTTAATAGCATTTGAAAAAATTATATGAAATCTGACTACTCTGAGCTGCTTCAAAGAACAGAATTCATGTTTAAATGACTGAGAATAAAGTCCCAACTTTCTACCATATGCTGTTTAAAACACTAAGGAATTCCAGTGCCTTCCATCTGTTGTGGAAATCAATGAATCGGAGGCATTCTGACTTGTTGCCTCACATAGGAAGTGTATTAAATCCTTCCATTCTTATTTACAGACACATCCCCCAGGCCCTGCCATGGGTATACACAACCACAGCAACTCGTGGAACTGTGTTATAACCATAGAATCATAATCATAGAATGGCCTGGGTTGAAAAGGACCACAATGGCCATCAAGTTTCAACTCCCTGCTGTGTGCAGGGTCACCAACCACAGACCAGGCTGCCCAGAGCCACATCCAGCCTGGCCTCGAATGCCTCCAGGGATGGGGCATCCACAGCCTCCTTGGGCAACCTGTTCCAGTGCCTCACCACCCTGTGTGAAAAACTTCCTGCTAAAATAAACCTAAACCTCTCCTGTCTCAGTTTAAAACCATTCCCCCTTGTCCTATCACTATTTATCACTATTCACCCTCGTAAACAGCCATTCCCCCTCCTGTTTATACGCTCCCTTCAAGTACTGGAAGGCCACAATGAGGTCTCCCCAGAGGCTCCTCCTTGGAGTTCAGGACTATTTGCCCTTGACAATTAATCCATACATGCAATTAAGGGAACTTTGTGCTCAATTCATGCTAGTTTACAAACAAAACACTGCAGAAGCCTCCAACTGAGAAAGGTTTTCTAGGAGTATAAATTTTCATAGAATAGGATTTAACCCCAAAAATACATTTATAAAGAGGCTAAGACTGAATTTAACCCTAGAAATAATATAAGTATTTTTCCTGAACATGTAAATGCAACTGAAGTGAATGCAGTAGTTACGGTTGTGCAACAATGCTGAATGCAGTTTATTATTCCCTATCTAAAAGTTCCAGGAGTGCAAACTGCACAGTTCCACGTATCCAGTAGGTGTCACCTTCACACACACCGCTCATACGAGACACAAGGTTAGGATTTCTTAGGTAACGGTGAGTCTGGAAGAAGTTTTCAGAAAAGCATGTGTGAAAAGGTACAGATTTGGTCCACTCTTCTTTACAAACACAGGGATTGCTGGAACAGCTGCAGCCTGGAACTGCTCATATACAAGTAACTTCACAAATCTACGTCAGTGTTTTTGTGCCTAAAAAACATCTGTAAAATGTGCCCATAGCGCACATATCGAAGCCCGAGGTCCTATTTAATGGATTCCCTTTAATTCATATGTCTTTAAAGCAAAATAAATATATATCATGTCATTTTCTCTGATCCTGTACCACCAAAACAGATTTCTGATCCTCCTGATTGATGGGGATATTAAATGAAGTTGGAATGGCCTCAAGGGAGCAGTGAGTCCCATTGCTATAAACAGTGCTTCAGGTTGCTGATTTCCTGAAATTATGCCTCATACAAATAAACATTTTCGTATGGATTACTGAGAGTCATCAATATCAATTGTCTGATTTAGGCTGCTTTTTATTTCAAAGCAAATCCTTTTATTTCCATTTAGCAGCCTAACATAGCAGTCAGTTCAGTAGCTGGGGAGTAAAGTCATTCAGGAAGGTCTGAATCCCTTTGATACGGCCATTGTCAGCCATGTGTGTGAAACAAACACTTTTCACATTTCAAACCCTAACCTCCAGCTGCTGTTTGGTGCGGGGAGAGCCACTGGGTCAGAGTAATGCCTTTCAGCATGCGATTAAAAAATGCACTTTGCCCATGCACACGGGTTTTGTAATGCAATCCTTTAGCAATCTGGCAACTTTTCTGGTTTTGTTAGCATGGGGTATTGCTTAGGAAAGTGCCTATGCAATTCTCTTGGGCCTGGTCCAAAATCCCTTGAAAATAATAGAGAGGGTTTAAACCGTGAGCTGGTGGGATGTTTGGAATGGCTGAATGGTGGCAAGTAAAGCTGGGGGCAGGCATTTGAAGAAAGCATCAGTATGGCAGATGCCAAAAAGCATGCGAGCTGACCTCAGCCTGGCCTTAAAACAGGTTTTGATTCACACAAGCAGTGAGGTGTAAAAGCTTTGTGAAGGAAAAGAATCTGGGGTTGTTAGCTGACAGCCAGCTGAACATGAGCCAGCAGGGTGCCCAGGTGGCCAAGAAGGCCAGTGGTATAGAACCATAGAATCCTTAGAGTTGGAACAGACCTTTAGAGGTCATCTAGTCCAACTCCCCTGCAAAGAAAGGGGACATCCACAGCTTGAGCAGGTTGCTCAGAGTCTGGTCCAGCCCGGCCTTCAAAGTCTTGAGGGATGGTGCATCCACCAAATCTCTGGGCAGCCTGTTCCAGTACTTCACCACCCTCACCCCCATAAAACCATTATGGTTGGAAAAGACCTTTAAGGTCATAATGTCCAACTACCCACCCACCACCAATACTGCCCACTAAACCATGGAATCATAGAATCATAGAATCACAGAATCACAGAATATTTGGGGACTTCAAGGACCATCAAGTTCCAACCCCTCTACCACATGCAGGGTTTCCATCCACCAGATCAAGTACTAGGTCATATTGCCAAGGGCCCCATCCAACCAGGTGTTAAGCACCTCCAGGGCATCCACAACCTCTCTGGGCAACCTGTTACAGAGCCTCACCACTCCCTCCAGTATAAAAAACTTCCTCCAGTATCTAATTTCTTTAAGGTGGGGAGATTTAAATTAGATGTCAGCCATGTCCTACATCTACGCTTTCCTTAAACACCTTCAGGGACAGTGTTTATGCCACCTTTCTGGGCAGCCTGTTCCAATGTCTCACCACTCTGAGAAGAAATTCTTCCAAATACTCAACTTGAAGCTCTCCTGGGACAACCTGAGCCCATCCCAGATTGTATCATCAGTAGCGCAGCCAGCAGGAGCAGGGAGGTGATTGTCCCCCTTGTACTCAGCCCTGGTGAAGCCGCACCTTGAGCACTGTGTTCAGTTTTGGGCCTGTCCCTACAAGACAGACAGTGAGTCCCTGTTTTTTTTTGAGGCCTCTTATTTTTTGTTTTTCTTAACATCAAGCTAACTTGATACAAAATTAGGCAGTCTGTGCACCTGGGCTGTCTGTCGAGATACACAAGGAGGGAAACACAATTCCAGAGGCAAATGTTTTTTTTTCCCACACGCTCCAGCTCTCTGTTACACAGTGAGGATGACAGAGGTCTTGCATCACGCACCCCTAATTAATGGACCATTCCTTCTCCCACGTGCATTACTCGGGGAAGCCGAGAAGTGGCTCTGCCCACACCCGGAGCGGGAGGGCAGACGTGTGGCAATCGCACGGGGGAAGCTCACGCAGCAGCCCGGGCTGCGGAACGTGCTGGAACCGCACGTCCTTCAGAGGGCGGTCTGACACAAAGCGGGCCCGCAGCTGGCGCAGCAGAACGCACTGACAGCGCATCCAAACAAGCAAGCGCTTTCATTTGGGAAGGATTCCCCGCGCGGGAGGCTCGTAGGCGCCAGAGGAGTTCACCCCTGTGTATCGCCGATGTCACAGCACGCGGGCTTCCCCTGCGTTCCGCCAACCGGCTCCGCCAGAGCCGAGACGAACTCCGCACGGCCCGGCCCCGCGCTCACCCCAGGGCCGGGGCCCTCCGGGGGCGGCGGGGGGGAGCGGGGGCGGCGCCGCACTCTGTGACGCCCCGCGGCCCCGCCTCGCCGCCCGGCCGGGCCCGGCCCCACGGAGGGACCGCAGAGGGAACATGGAGGCGGCGGCGGCGCGCCGGGGGGCCCGGCCGGGTCGGGCGGCGGCGGGAGCGGGGCGGTAGCGGCTCACCGGGTTCCCTCGCTACCCCCGCGGCCGCCCCACCGCTCCCGAGCGGGCGGGAGGCGCCGGCGGCCTTTCCCCTCGCCGGGGGATGGCGGCCCCGGGCCCTCCGCAGCTCCCGTGGCCGCGGCCGGGCCCGCGGCTGCGGTCCGGGCTGGAGGTCGCGCTGCGGGTGCCCAGCCTGTTTCTCATCGACGCCATCTTCAACTCGGCCCCGCTGCCGGGCGGCTCCGTGTGCGCCGCGCTGCTGGGCGTGCTGCTGCGGCTGCTGGGTGAGACACCGTCCGGGCCCGGCGGGGCGCTGGGGGCGGCTCCGGGCGGCCCCGTCCGGGCCGGGCCTCGACCTCGCTGCTCCTTCGGCCCCCACCTCCCCGTACTGCCGGCCTCGTTCGCAGCTGCTGTGCCGCCTCGGGCTCTCCTCGGCCCCTTCCCTCAGCTCCGACCCCTTCCTTCCCGCTGCCTGCTTTCTGCTGCCCCGGTCTCTTCCCTCGGCGCTGTGGCTGTTGTCTTCCCCCTTCTGCCGGCCGGAGCGCCGTAGGTCCCCGTGGCCCCTCTCAGTATCCCACACCCATCCCCGTTCCCGGGCTCTCTGTGTGCGGCCCCGGCTACAGGGCGGCGATGTGTGGTGCTTTCTGTTGTCCTCGCAGCGAACGGGGCCTCGGAAGCCACCCGAGGTTGGTGCGAGCGCTGCCGGGTGCCATGTGCCGCGGGGCCGGCTCCTGCCGGGTGCTGCCGACTGCCACTCGCAGTGTCTGGAGGCTTCCACAGCGTGTGGCAGCCATGTGACGCCGCGGCTGTGCGTTTCATAGGCGCGCGTCGGTAGCTGCCTGGCCGAGGTACGCTGCCAGGTCCCTTACCTCGGGAATGGCAGCCCGAAAGTGCCCCACACTGAATTCACAAACTTGAGAGCTCTTCCAACTGGTTGCTTTCCAGCTTTTTCTGCTTTTCTTTTTTTCTGGAGGTTAAGTCGCTGGTGTAACAATGTGGTGCTGTCTTTGGTATGCTGCGCGGTGCTGAGGGGTTGTGCAGCACGAGTAACGCTGCCTGCCGCTGTGAGAGCGAAACTGAACTGCAGTGGGGATGGCAGCCCGAGACAGGAAGGAACAGGGACGCTGAAACGCAGCCAGGAGCTTTGCAGGCCTGCGGCGCGCTGGCTTGGTGTGGTTTGGTGTTTGTGTCAGGGGAAAAAAAAAAAAAGGCAGGGACATGGGTGGTACAGCTGTCAGGGAAGGAAAGTCAGAGGAGAGGTTAAAAGGGAACATAAACAGCAAGAAGCGCAGTGGGGATGGTGTTGCAATAGCAGAGGGGAAAAAGGGTGAAGTAAAGCAGGGCAGCAGGCAAGAGGAGAGCCAGGAGAAACCCGGAGCAGGGGTTTGGTTTGGGCTGCTACTCTAGGGTGCACAAGGCAGTTCCACAGGGCAGTGGTCACAGCCTGGAGCTCAGGGAGCATTTGGGCAGTGCTCTCATCGGGTTTGAATTTTGGGTGTGGGAGCCAGGAGTTGGACTCCTAATCCTGGTGGGACCCTTCAGGGTATTTGTGATTCAGTGCCTTTTTGCAGCGGGGATACCCCTCTTATTTCCCATTTCTGGAGCTTCTACCTTTACGTAATTGCTAAGAGTGCATCTCACTGCTAAGCAGTTCCTTTAAAAAAAACAATGACGTTGCAGCACATCACTAAAGCAATTTTTGGGAGCCATTCATTGTGTAATAGAGATGCTGTAGGAAGCTCCTTGAACTTAGTCCAACGTAAATGGGAATAGGAGATACATTTTCAGATGATCTCTCTTTAAGTGTGTGATAATGAGATTAAGTTATGAAGGACCTCTTCAGGATTGTGATCACTTTGCTGGAAGGGTGTGGGGAACTGGTTGATCCCTCCCCTGCCTCCAGTGAGAGCTTTGGGAGCAGTTTGTGAGGGGCTGTGATTTGAGACAAGTGGGCTGTGGTTCTCAGCTTTCCAAAAATTAAATAAAATTGTAACTGCTTCAGGATGATGCTAAAGACTTTCCGTGTGGTTCAGTCAGTAGTTATTTTTTTCCTGTGAATTTAAGGATTACAGGGTGCTGCGGTTTAACCCAGCAGGCAGATCAGCACCACACAGCTGTTCTGTTGCTTGTCCTCCCTCAATTGGATAGGGAAGAGAATGGGGGCAGGGGGGGATAAAACAAATGGATTGAGATGGACAGTTTAATGGGACAGAAAAGTGAAGGGGAAAATAATAATAGTAATGCATAACACAGTTGCTCAGCACCTTCTGACCAATGCCAAGCCAGTCCCTGAGCAGTGGCAGCCCCCAGTTCTACAGTACAAGAAGCTGAAACGTTCTTTGCTCTGTGCAGCATGGCTCAGCAAGACCAAAACACTGGTGTGTTATCAACGTTCTAATCTGAAATCCAAAATACAGCACCAGACCAGCTACTGGGAGAAAGTTAACTCTGTCCCAGCCGAAACCAGGACACAGCTGGGGCTTTGCTGTTGTTAGGACACGTTGAGATATTTATGTTGGATCTTGCTGTAATTAAGTACATGTGAAGTTGCCTTTTTTTGTTACCATTTGCTGTCTCTGAACAGCTAATCTTAACTGGAGAGACCTGATAGCTTTCAAAAATGGTGTCGAACAGCTCTGAATTACTCTGGGATATGTTTTACTTCAAGAATGCTAACGGGAGTTTGTATGATTTTTAAAAAGCTTTAATGCAGGAATGCTCAGTTGGATTCTTCCTTCACTTTTGTTCTATGCAGGTTCACTGGGTTGGACACACTGTAGAAGCAAACTGCAGTGAAGTTTGTCTTTAATCTTTCAGGCTAACCTTGCTTTGTCTCCGCTGTTCATCTTTCAGATTCTGCGTGTGCTTTGTAAGCATTTCCACTGCGCAGAACCACTTGGTCATGGCAAAAAGATGGATGGTATGCCATGGCCGGAGGAGAGGAGTGGGGTGCTCCCCTCCCCTGCCAGAGATCCCAGTCGCCTCTGGGGTCTTTTCAGGCTCCCTGCGGGCCTTGGCTCCTCCACGTGTATTGGCAATATATATGTTGTACATTTTGCTACGGCCCCAACGGGGGAGCCTGTAGGTGTAGCTTTTCTATCTTATCAGCTCACTGTAATATTGTTTCAGGGATGGCTTGCACGTGAAAGGTCAGTATTTTAAGATGACATGCAGTACCCAACTACCTGACTCTCCTATGGTTGTTTATTATGGTATGCATGAAAAGGCAATGAAATGGTCAGACTCATTTTAGAAAGTGTTGTGTCTCGTGAGTTTGAGCTTTTCATGGAAAAACTGAGCAGAAAGCACTTCCTGAATGACTGTGTTCTTCCCTCAGTCAGCTTCCCGAGGTTAATGATTAGTTAAGGAGAACATTGTTACATCAGCCAGTGCTGCTTGCAAGGAGTACCTTTAAGATGCAGTAACTTTTTTAGGAGTACTCTGCCTTTTGCTATTAATTCTTGTTTATTTTTCCCCTTCTTACTTTTACCATTTCTTCCTTGCATTCTACATCTGTGTACCAAAAAAATATACATGCTGTTGCTCAGTTCAGGTACAGGTGGAGAATGGGGGACTTTGCCAAAGCCTTTCAGAGTGCTTCACCTGGTGGGGTTACACCAGAGTTAATTGTGTGATGTAGGAAAACTGTTAGCCTCTCGGTGACCTGCCTGCCTCATCCCCTAGCTCTCTTTCATGCCTGTCCTCTGAGAAAATTTGTCTCGACTGTTTTGCAGGCTGTCCTGACACTTTGGCCAGTGTGGGTGTTTGTAGTTAGGTGCTTTGCTCAGGTGAAGAGGGGCTCAATATTGGATAAATGTGTAAAATTCACTGAATTTACTGGTGCTGTATCTGGTAATTCTTTCCTGCTTTTAGAGTTTACCTACCCGTAGATATCAGGGCTGGCTGGGGAACAATCTTTGAGGACTTGGACATTGTTGGTGCTCCAGTCTGAAACTGTTAAGATAGACTTAATAACAGTACTGACTTATGCTTAAATTGGCTCTCCATCACAGCAGTGCACATCTGTATTAAATACAGATCATAGAAGTGAATCAGATTATCCCCAGTTGGAAGGGACCCACAAGGATCATGGAGTCCAACTCCTGGCTCCGCATGGACCACCCAAATCCAAAACTTGTGTCTGAGAGTGGTGTCCAAACGCTCCTTGCACTCGTGCAGCTCAGGGCCATGCCTGCTGCCCTAGGCTTTGTGTTCCATGCCCACTGCTTTTTTCTAATCCTCAACCTTGCCTTCTCCAGATAAAAGTGGTTCTTTAGTCTGTTCTCTGAAGATAGCAGCGTCATTGCTAATGCAAAGTTAAAGTTAAAGGAGTGTCTAATGGGAGAGCATTGCTGCAAAGCTAATAGGTAAATTCTGTTACTCAGTTTCTGCTGAGAACTAAATGGTTCCCATCTGTTTTTAGGTGTCTTTGTATCCAGCATTGTTCTGGTGTTACAACAGCGAGCACTTTTCAAGTTTTATATGATCGCCTCGGCATTTCTGCTGGCTGCAACTTCAGTGTTGGTGAATTACTATGCTTCTTTGCACATAAACTTCTACAGTGCCTACTACACAGCAGCTTTTGGAATTCAGTTCCTCCCTCATAAAGGACCTTCGCTATGGATGGCGCTTTCCATCCTTCAGCTTACCTTCGGAATCGGATACGTTACGTTGCTGAACATGCAGTCTGTATATTCCCAGCTAATCATCCTGGATATACTGATTCCTGTAATTGGCTTGGTTGTTGAACTACCTTTACATGTCCGACAGATGCTAGTTTTTATTTCAGGCCTAGTGCTGACACTGAACACCACAGTCATTTTAGTTACGAAAATCAAGTGGTTCTATTACTCAGTGCGGTATGTTTATCTGCTGGTGAGGCACATGTATCGCATTTATGGATTACAGCTATTGGTGGAAGATACATGGAAAAGGATTCGATTTCCAGCTGTTCTGCGTGTCTTCTGGCTGACGAGACTTACAGCACAAGCTGTGGTATTGACATATGTTGTAAAGATGGCTGAAACTAATACGGAAGACAAATTCTTCTTGATTTCGTGGGATAATTGTTGGGAACTGATCTGCAGCCTAATAATAAGTGGGTGTGATTCTACCTTAACTGTGTTAGGCATGAGTGCTGTTATTTCCTCCATAGCACATTATTTGGGACTTGGCATCTTGGCCTTCATTGGGTCGACCGACGAGGATGACAAAAGGCTGGGTTTTGTAGCACCTGTTCTGTTTTTCATTTTGGCTCTGCAGACTGGTTTAAGCGGACTGAAACCAGAAGAAAGACTAGTTCGTCTGAGCCGAAACATGTGCCTTTTGCTAACCGCAGTCCTGCATTTTATCCATGGAATGACAGACCCCGTGCTGATGTCTCTCAGTGCCTCCCACGTGCCGTCGTTCCGCAGACACTTCCCCGTGCTGTTTGTTTCAGCTTGCCTTTTCATCCTGCCGGTTCTGCTCAGCTACGTCCTCTGGCACCACTACGCACTGAACACGTGGCTTTTCGCAGTTACCGCGTTCTGCGTAGAGCTCTGCCTGAAAGTAATCGTTTCTATCACTGTTTATGTATTGTTTATGATCGACGGCTACTACAACGTGCTGTGGGAAAAGCTTGACGACTACGTCTATTACGTTCGCTCCACTGGCAATATTATTGAGTTTATATTTGGAGTCATCATGTTCGGAAATGGAGCTTACACAATGGTTTTTGAATCGGGAAGTAAGATCCGCGCTTGCATGATGTGTCTGCACGCGTACTTCAACATCTATTTGCAAGCAAAGAATGGCTGGAAGACTTTTATAAATCGCAGGACTGCTGTTAAGAAAATAAACTCCCTTCCAGAGGTGAAAGGAAGCCGGCTCCGTGAAATAGATGACGTATGTGCAATCTGCTACCACGAGTTCACCACGTCTGCTCGCATTACCCCGTGCAACCATTACTTTCATGCACTTTGTCTTCGGAAGTGGCTGTACATTCAGGACACTTGCCCCATGTGCCATCAGAAAGTGTATATTGAGGACAAGGAGAACGCCAACATCTCTAACAACAACGGGTTTGTGCCACCAAATGAAGATCCTGTACTAGTTGCAGAAGAAGCTGCTGATGCTGAAAATGAATTAAATGAAGATAATGACAGCTCGGATAGTGGCGAAGAAGATGATGATGGTGTGGAACAGCACTTGAATGAGACTCTTAACGCTGACTCTGACTCTCTTGGGTGATTAAGATGTTCTTTCCTAAGCCGTGAGGTATTTGTTTAAAATTGACTCAAACAGAATAAAAGCATCACTTTGTAGTTATTGTACTTTTAAGCACAACAGCAGTATCTCGGTGTTGAGTCTGTGAATGGTGGTTGTTTACTGTGGTGTGTGCTACTGTAAATATACCTCTAATTTTTGCTGGTCTCTTTCATGACCACCTTAAATTATGTACATTATTGTACATGGAATAAAATGTTTTCACGTTTTTAAGATGGTTGGAAAAACACTCTTTAATTGATGTAGTGATAATGCTGTGCCAAAGACTGCCTACCAGTAATCCCTGATCAGTGAGTTCTGGATGTAAAACACTGGTGAAAACAGACTGTTCAGCGGGTTAAATCAGAAACGAAAAGCTTGAACCAAAGCAGCTTTACTTAACAAATTCAGTATTAGCAGAGCTTTATCACTTAAAAAATAGTGAGTTGTGTTTAAAAAGAAAACAATGCAAAGCTTAGGTTGGTAGACTTAACACTACAGCATTTGCCGAAGTGGAGCAAAAGATGAAACCGCTAAGCTTTCTGGTCAAGTAGTAAGCATGCACTTGATTGTTAAGCACTTCTGAATTACCAGTAGTAACTTGAAGCATTCTACACGTGAACTCAGCAGCCTGGTATTCATTTTGCAATGTGTGCAGGTATTAACAAGAGCTGCTAGCTTAGGCTATTCTAGAAATTGATCCCGAATCTTGATGAAAAGGAAATAGGGCTAGGAAACTGTACCAATGCAGACCACTTTTTCAAAATCAGCTTTAATCTTGTACAAAAAGCACTACATATTGGTTTCTGTCGATAAGAACTTGCAGATATGATCAGTCTTAACTTTTTTGCAATATACTTACTAAAGTTATGTTGAATAAATGTAAGAAAACTTTATATATTTGGAAAGAAGACTTTAATAGTGTTGTTATATAGAGTATTGGCCAACTCGAGTGGGTCATCTTCTCTTACTGCTGCCATAATTTCCAGTATTTGACTAAAAAAAAAATAATAATTGCTATTAGACTCCAAAAATCAGTAATGAATATACATCAGAGTGTCACATCTGTATGTACATGAGTAACTAAGATTAACCTGGAATAAAAACCTACTATGAGAGCAACAGGCTGAGATGCTCTGATACGGAAACAGCTTCACTTACTAAAGTCAGTAACTTCTATTCCCTGGTTGCTCACTGGTACAGGTTCATCTTTGGTCTTTTGACTCTTGTTCAGAGGTAATTAAACAGCTTTCTGTTCCAAAGAAAGTGTCATTTTGTGCATGTCTTTATCAGTGGTCTTGACTTTTCAGACTGAAATTCATTAACCTCCTGTCAAGGTTAAAGTGGCACTATAAACAAACTGGTTTATGGCAAAGCTTAAATTCCAGCTATAAGCGTAACAGGTTACCTCTACCAGGACAGCTCAGTTCTGCTTCCCCTTTCTCTAGACAAACTGTAATGGATACACTCAGATGTCAGTAGGAGATGCTAAATAAGCACTTTTAGAAGGCCTGGAGGTTTGGTAGAATCCAGGAGAAGGAGGCAAAAGGAAGGTAAAGACAAGTATTAACACTCAGTAAGAGCAAACCAGGCCACGGCCCCTTCTTATTTGTTTTCTGTCACTGAAGTACAGGAAAAAGCCTGTATGTTCTGTACAATTCTAGCAGTAGGAAAAAACCAAACTTCCTTGTGGTGAAGATGAAGGACCTTAACTTTAGCAGTGTGGTTTGGGTTTTGGATTTTTGCCTCAACTTAGGCAATAGTTAAACTTCTTTTCAAGGAAAATAGTAGAAAAAGTTGCTCCTTACTGTTCCTGGAATGCCAGTATTCTCCTAGATGAAGAATTAAGAGCATTTCATGCTTGTGTTTTGCAGCCAAAAGGCTTCTTTATTTAAGAGTATTTTCAAGAGAAGATGGGATAAGATCAGGCCTATGTAGAAATGATAATTCCAAGTACCAAAGAGTATCAGCCCTGAAGAGCTTTGGGAGGGCTTACAGGTACTTGTCCCCACTTAGTTGCAGTGGGAATGTGATGTTTTGCTGCAATACTGTATAAAAGCTGCAGGAGGAGAAAAAAAAAAAAAAAAAAAAAGCCTCTGGTGGATAAAGTTTCCACAAAAATAGCTTCCAAGGTGTGTATAGCAGGTCTTAATACACATTAATATATAGATATCACCATCAAAATTAAAAGCTGTCTTCCCCACTCTTGCACCACCACCAAAGAAAGACAAGTGGAAAAACCCTCCTGCCAACTGAGCTATATTAAACAGTGTATGGACCCTAAATATTAAATATAGTTTGTGGCCTCATGCTAACTTTCCTCTCACAACAGATCATGCTGCTTGACAACTCACAAAACGTCAACTCTCACTGTACTTCCTCAGGCTTACGACATTCTCAAGTTACTAATCTACTACTAGTAATGGTTATAATTAATTTTAAGAGGACAGTATTTTTGAAATAAGGCTCTTATTTCATTAACAGCAACAACAAAAAAGCCACAGTACAGCAGCCACGTACTGCTGTAGGAAAGGCGCCCGGTGCTGCCAGTGCTGGGGTTTCTGAAGCACTGTGATGAGCTGCACGTCGGGCGGCAGACAAACACAGGATGGTGTAACAGACACACCTGCCACAGCAGCCTTATTCAGGCAGCAGGAAAGGTCATCAACTCTTGTGAGGCAAACAAATGTTCTCAGTTGATCTCTTCTGCATTCGTGGACTGACCTCAGAAAGTCTAAAATTCTGATGCAGCCCTTCTGTCCCAACGCGTGCAGTTTGTGTTATATATAAATAATGAGTTTTGAGGAGTGTTACAGGGCAACACCTCTGCATTAAAATGTATTTTGAGCCCTGGTGGAGTAGCCATGGCAACTTAAACCATGCTTTAGCATGATCAGCAGTCTCCAAAGTTTCTTCAAGCCTACAACAGCAGCATTCCCTTCCGTTCTCACATATGCTCTTGTTTTGACACTTCAAATTCCTACAGTCTTCAGTAGCATTGTGAGAAGTATTTAGGAATTAGTTCCAAACAGGTACTTTACACATAGAAACATACAGATTTCACAGCAAATAAAGATCTGGTCAAGTAAATAGGCTTTGCATCTGGCTCTGTGCAGCTGTGAACTTTGTTTGCTGCACTGAAAAGTCACATACTACAACACAAGAAACTTTCCTCATTCCTTCTTTTCAAGGAGCTGGTAACAAGAATGATAGCACCAACTGCCCTAAGCAACCAAAGAGACTTTGCTAGCAGTTGTGAAAATTCATAATTTCACCTACCCATGCTGTTAATGGAATAACACTTTCACTAAAACAATACACTTCCTTGCTTTTCCCACCTCTGGGAGGATGCATTCTGAGGATGTAGCAGGATTCTATGATTCAAGTCAGGCTTTCTGTACGTTCAGGCTGTGACTCCAGCAGCCCCTAGAGCTTTCTCTTACTGTTCTCTCATTGACTACTGTTACTCATATCTAAACTTCACAAGATCAATGTTTTATGAAACATTTGTTCCAGCATCACAGCAGGATGAAGGAAGCACCCTTAACCAAGTTCACATGATGGCATCCTTTACCACAGGCACAGCGAGGCCTGAAGGGAACTGGGAGCAGCCCTATCAGTGTCATTTCTGTCCACTCCCTGTCTTTGCACTGTCTGTCTTCAGAGGACAGCACAGCTCCAGAGCTGTATCAGTTTTAAACATAACTGCAACTGACTGAAGTTTATTCAAGTGAATTTACTTTACAGGGCTTAACTCATTCTTCAGCATACAGAGTGAAAAGAAAGAGTCAGCACTGGTTTCGTTTTCAGGGAGCTTTCTACATTCAGAATTGTTGAAATGGAAAAATTAAGTCCTTAACATATACATATATATCTATATATTTTACAACCCATTAAGTAATACCTTGCATACTTAAATACATTTAAATTCATTTCTATTTACTATCTTTCCCGTGGACTGTTGCTTTTCTTTTCCCCCTGTGAATCTGAAATATTTTATGTAATCCTACACGAGTGCACTTACATTATATGGCAGGGCTCATTCCTGTCCTTCAGGCAGTGCCCCATTTCCCATTTCTTTTTGGTAGGAAATGTAGTTTTCACATATTTCGATCCAGCATGAGTATTTTTCACTCCACACCAGGGTGCATCTAGTTTCATTTGAAAAACAGAATTAAGAGCATGCAATCACTTGAGAATACCATGAGATGGCTTAGTCAACTCAGCCACAGACATTAGTTTTCCTTATCTCTTTTGAGGAATGACTTGAACAGACTGGGATAATTTAATACCTGAAAAATCTTTGCATTTTTATACCACTACCTTAAGCAGTTTACCTTTTAAAATACCGTACAGTAACACATCCCACTAATCTCTGACATAACAATGCATGCACTGCAGTTCCAAAGAAATTCCAGAATTTGTTAACGTTTGTGCTTCGTAAGCAAATTAGTTAAAAGCATCCAGGCAGTTTACTTTTTTTTTCAGATTCAGAAATTCCAATGAAACCAGCATTTTTAACTGTCAGTTCCTCACATGTGAAACGCACACACAAACAAATCCCACACTCTGAAGTTGCAGCTCATCAGCCCAAGAGGGGAACGTGAGCCTTCTCCCACAGTACTCCATTTAAAGAGCTGTTGTTTCCAGTTGACATTACAGCTACCACTGGCAGGACCTCAGCCACTGCCCTGTCTGGCACTTCTCCAGCAAGCTGCACTTCAAAAGATAGTTGAGCAGGACTTCAGTATTTAAATACAACTGAAAATCCAGGCTCGTCAGTGTCCCCTTTCCACCTTCCCCTGTTACACTGGGGACTGACAGGCAGCTCCTTCCCTCGAGCAGAAAGCTGAAAAGGAGTATTCAGAGAGCTCACAGGCTGCCCTCCAAAACAGAGCAGTGGGCAGTCCGTTCTCTGCTCCTGTCTCCTTCCTCTCGGGCTTGCCTTATCACTGCTATGCAAGCATATCATGTTGCCCAACAGCATTTAAGTCACAAACTGCTGACCAAGATATAAAATCTTACCGGTCTCTATCATTAATCGTTCACTAGGAATTGATTTCAGTGCTTCCAAGTTGGCTTCTGTTTTCAATGAACTAGAAAAATAAAGAGTGTGTACAAGTCATTACTTCGCCTGTTGAAGTGTTTCATAGCAAAAACAGCCTCCTAAACAATTTAAAGAAAATTTGCTTTGTTTTTTTTTAAATGCTGCCTCTAAATTCAAACTTTGCACTTAGCAGCAAACATGGAGTTACTGGGAAGCTGGCTTACCCTGGGGACAGAACCCATCTGCCCAGCCTCAGCTACTCCTGCCACTGAGACAGCCAAAGCTGGCTGTGTGACCAGCAGATAAAGCTGATCAGGTGACATTTTGCACTACTCCTATATTTGACATGGTAACTGAAAACTATGCTGTTTTTTTTTTTTTTTCATGATCTCACAGTAAGACTGCTTCCACGCTCTATCATGTTATTCATTTCCAAATGAGGACTGACTGGAGGGTAGTAGGAAGGACCCCAGACCAGATTAGCTTGCTGAGTGATGAGTTAAGAACTTTTTGTAGCTAAAAGATTAATGAGTGCAATTCTAAATCTGTCAGATGATTAAGGGCCTATCGAGCTTTGAAAACTTGACCTCGTTGTTTAAAAGAAACCAATGAGTTCATTGCAGCTGCCATTTTAAAATAGCTTTATTTCCTGCGAGGAACTTACCAGCCATTTATTCCAATGTAAAGATCCAAATCTATTATTGCTGCTGCTTCTTCCTTCGTGCCATCAAAAGAATGAACCTACAATCAATATAAATGCATATGCAGATGTGTAATACACAGACTTAATTTAAAACTCCAATCATTTAAAATCATACAGGAGTATTGACTTGCATCATAAATACCTTTCAATGGAATGCATTACACATGTATTCAAACAAAGATGGGACATAGCTCATCTGATTCTGAACTGGGGCAAAGCTCAGGCTGAGGTCACTGGAATGCTGCAACAAAACCAGTTATCACGTTTCATTAGTGATTAATGTAGGAAAAGTCTATGCTGTGATACTGCTTACGGCCCACAATTTTTCTGTAGCCAATACCTGAAATCTGGGAGGTTACATACAGCAAGCAATGCTGTGTGTGCTTAGTTTTTACATTCTCGCCTTGGTATTCCCTAGAGGACACTGCCAGAGTAAGAGCTGGAATTATTTTCAGCACAGATTTTAGCCCAAAGGAACCCGAAGCCTACTGGTCATCTTAAGGACGAGAGGCAAGTGATGGGTCATAGGGTGTGAAGTGTAACCCATGTGGAAGCTGTGGTCCCTGAAGGGAGCAAAGAGAGCGCCCACTTCCCCGTGCAGGCAGAGGAACAACCAGCAGCAGAGGGTGCTCTTTGTGTCTCTGCTTGATATCAGCTGTGCAGGACTGAAGGAAGGAGTGACCACTCAGTGTAACTTCAGAGCTTGGGGAAGGTTTTGCAGTACAAATGGGGAAACTTGGGGACGGAGATAACCAGACCAGTCGTGGTCTGACACGAGCAGGATGCAATAATCCAAGTCTTCATTACTTTTGGAAAACCACGGCATAATGGAAAACTGAAAGAGAACTGCTGGACTTCCTTAATCATTTCATCTGAAGTTTCTTCCTGCTATGTGTTTGAATTAAAATACATGATCTGAATATCTAAGGACAGGAAGCAATCAGAAGATACATCTGGATGTAATTTGAAAATCACGTCTGATGTCAGAAGCAAATGTTTGAGGTTACAGCTCCCACTGGGAACACGCATCCAAATTATCTGTGGTCTGGAGGCACTGCAGTTACAGGCACTGCAGAATTGGGAAGAGGCCAATGTCAATTATAAGGTGCTTAAACTGTCCTTCTGCTAGGCCAAGAAAAACTGGTCATGTCAGCTCAGAGCCATGTCTCAGCCTATTCCCTTCCCTTGCAACATAAAACTGTTGAATAAGCAACAAAAATAAAAATACTGATATAATACAGATATATTTTTTTTTTGAAGTGGATTGCAAATAGTAATTTATAATAGCTGAAAGTACCCAACAGGCAGCCTCCACAGACTCCATGGCAAACAATAAGTCACACATTAACAATGACATTCACATACATCCTCCAGCCCCACACACATACGTAAAAATGAACCCCACACCAAAGCCCATACTTACCACTCCTCCAACAAATCTATCTCTGTTTCTTCTCATTATGTCTGCAACATAAAGAGTAAAAACATAAGGTGGTTTTGTAACAGACAAAGGAGAAAGATCCCTGCTTTTCACACAGGGTGATGACGCACTGGAACAGGCTGCCCAAGATGGGTGGTTGGCAACCCTGCACGTAGCAGGGGGGTTGAAACTAGATGATCACTGTGGTCCTTTTCAACCCAGGCCATTCTATGATTCAGGTTTCTAGATTTTTTCATATTCAGAATTCGTTACTGCTTGAAATCCTCATGCAACACCCACCTAAAAATTCAGCATGTGAGTTTCTGCAGTGAAGAAACATGGGCAGTCTTGTTTGCTCTGCCAGGTCAAACTGTTTTTCAAAGTATCTGTAAAATAAAAATCACTTTTAAGCAGAAATTCAGTCAAAGACTAATGAAAGACAGCAGAACAGTTTTTCCAGTGCTTGTACATTTTGGTCCTCCAGAGCTAAAGACAAATCGATGGATTTGCCATGCAGAAGCTATCATCCATTCAACAATTTAGGCATTCACGTTTAAAAGCAACTTTCTGCTGCGGGATATTCATGCAGCAGTGATGAACACAGATAAGAAGTGGCCAAAAGCATCAATAATGGAAGAACTCATAAACATATATGCTGAGCACATACCCCTGAGTATTGTGAGTGCTGGTGGAATTGGGTTTTATTTATTTGTAATGACAGAGGAACTGCCAGTTCTCTCCACAAGGTTCTGAAATGCCAGGGATAGAAGAGAGTGTCTATCACACAGAGACTGCTATTTCAAGAAGTATTTGTAAAAGGTGTGGGGGTGGGTGAGGGAGCACTGTGCAGAATTCTATAGCCCCGAATGGCCCAAATTAGTCCTCAGAGCTGGCAAAGCAACAACGCAGAGTTTTTGTTTGCTCTTCCACAAAGGTCAGCCTTGTCTTTCTTGACATGAAACAAATACCAATACCACGCATCTTCTGCCCTGTTTTGCACATTGTCTTCACTCTTTCCCCATTTCTCACTGGTTCTCCCTCTATTGCTTGCACGCTTGCATCCTTTCCTTTTCACTCATTGTTATTCCTGTCCTACCTCCTACTTCTAGGATTCCCTTTGAAGGAGCAGTAACAGCGAGGCAGCCATCTATGAAAACAAAGACGTGGGGCAGAGGGCAGTAAGCAGGTAGCCAGCTCCCCAGTGCAGTTTCTAAAGTTAGAACCAGTGAGTACCAATTTAACCTTGTCTCCAGTAACCTGCTGCTAGTTCTGATCCCACAGTATCATTACTTACAGTTTCTCTGTCTGCCATGCTACACTCAGGCATGAGAATTAGAAATGCTCCTCTCATGCTCCTCACAATTTTCTTTGTAGTTGGACACTGTGCATAGTCTACATTGACTAAAATCCAAATTTAATTGCAATGCACAATTGCTCTTGCTGTTTAAATAGCTACAGTTGCTTGATTGGTGTTTTGTATTTTTTTTTTTAAACAGCTGTTTTCATTCTTCAGACTTGCTTCATACGAAAATGAGGTTTTAGAGACTGAGCTGCAAATAATCCCCATAAGTAACTACTGGCTGATGTAACCTTTTACCCACAAAACCACTACTGTTCTTCAAAGCTGAGAGGGAGGCAATGCAAGCTTCTTCCTTATCTAGCTACGGTGAAGCCCATCACATCACATGCTGCTATGTGCCCTGTGAAAGAAAATGAGGAAGTCGACAAGGAAGTTCCTAGATAAAAAAGAACAAAACACAAAAACCAGGAAAGAGAAAGTCTGGAAAAGCCGACAGAAACCTGACATATGGTGATCAGAACATAACAGTGTAAATCATCAGGATGCCAAACCTTACCAGTTACAGTACTGAAGGTATGGCCTTCTTCTGTCGGGTGAGAGCCAAGCCACTGGCTACGTCTGTTTCTCCTCAATAATGTTTGAAAACATCCTTGCTTGTTTGTTTGCACATTTAGTATTGAGCACATACTTCAAATACTCTGGCATTTTCAGTTTGGGGATCACAGCACTAACACAGATGAAGCAGATTTGGCCATGCAGAAGTAGATCCCCAGAAAAGCAACTTGGGATTCATGTATTAGTGACAGTATATTTCTTCTGTCTGTTTCAAAGAGCTCTGAGAAACTAGGTTTATGTATTTTGTTCTGTCTAATTTGGGGAATATTTGCAGTACTACATTCATACAGTAAAAGACATGATCAACTCTCCCTACTGATTACTTGTGGCAATTAGGAAAATATACAACTAACCACTGCCCCCCAGTGACTAATTCTACCCATAGCAGCAACCTGCCACAATTCATCAGTCTCCTTTCATTGGAATGGTTGCTCCTGTCACTCAGTATGACTGCTGTGTATATTACTTCAAATTACCGATCTCTCCGGGTCCTCAGATGAACATATCAGCCCTCAATTATCTCAGCTAACACTGCCCATAGTAAAAGCTTCCTTCTCTCCACTGCTGACTTACACTTTTTGATAGTTCTGTTCCCTCCTCTACGCCTTCCACTCCAACAAACTAATTCTTCCTTCACGTACTACAGTTACATTAATTCTCACCAAGAGTCTGCTAGACTGAGCGTGAGCAAGAATGAATAGCTGCCACACCTGGAAACCCAGCAATTCTGATGGATTTTACAGGAAAGGACACGTTGAACCCACACCGTGCAGGAAGCAAAATTCACTGCTTCCTTTAAAGTCACGTTTTCTGACACACAAAAAATCTGCACGTTGCAAATGTCTACCTGACTAAATGCTACCTGGTAGAACACAGGAAGGAAAGCACTGATGTACAGTGATACAAATCAACTTATAGACAGCAAGTTTCTTACTTGAGTTGGATATCCTTTGGGCAAAACTCCAATCTGTCAAAATCTACAATTAGAAAGAACAAAACCCCAGTTAGTTAGGGTTCAAGGATGTCTATACACGTTTATACATATCAGTACTGAAGTACTAAGATAACACTTACCTAGGCCACATTCTCCAACTGCTATTATCTTTGTCTTATTCTTTTCAATCAGATTTTTTAATTCTGATAAATACTGGTCAGGGTTACTCTGCTCAAATTCCCCGCAGCGTGTAGGGTGGCAGCCAACTGTGCTGTAAAACATATCTAAAGCAACACATTATTAGATGGTTTTAAGAAAAAAATATGAGTTCATATAAGCTATAGCCATTATCTGTGCCTGGACATTTTTCATTACTTGTAATTTTAAAAGAAAACTCCCTCTTTATCTCATGTGCCTCTACATTCATTAGCTGGGATAGGATTTTGCAAGCAATGTCTGACTTACCTAGAAATTCCTTCTAGATGACCTCAGTACCAAAACAAAAAGACATGCAGTACCTTTACAAAGAATGTAGAAATATGGGAGGGAAATACATACGTATAAAATATGCCTTTATGCATATAAAAATATTCATATAAATACGTATGTACACACACACAGAAAGACCTTAAGCAACGGGTTGGACCAGGTTACCTCCTCTGCTTCATTCCAACCTGAGTTCTTTTATGATTCTCTTCTGTAAACAGTACTTTAATGTATATAAATACACCACTTTCTTAAATAGAATAAGTATTTAAGTAATTAGTGCAGTGATAACTACCTGAAGAAAAAAAGGAGGGATACATTCCTTTTAATGGGAGGAAAAACTGGGAGGGAGATGCATTCTACATCATATATCTATTTCAGCCTACTTCTGGAAGAGGGCCTTGTGATAAATTGTGCTTCCAGCAGCACACATGGCTTGGTTTTTCTAAACATCTGAACTGCCTAGAAACAGAAATCAGAGCAATGATTAATCCCTTCCAACACCCAGAAATCTAAATAGCTATATAAAGCCATACACAATGCAGTGATCTCACTCTGAATCCTCATTTTCAATTTTAATCTGAGATTCTGTAAGCAAGTCCAGGGGCATGTCTTTATACACTCTTAATGTAGGAGGCTCAGGGAGACCTCACTGCACTCTACAACATCCTGAAGGGAGGCTGTGATGAGGAGGGGTTTGGCCTCTTCTCCCAAGCAACAAGCAGAACCCGAGGAAATGGCCGCAAGTTGTACCAGAGGAAGTTAGACATAAGGAAGAACTTTTTCTCTCAGAGAATGGTCAGGCACTGGAATGGCTGCCCAGGGAGGTGGTGGAGTCGCCGTCCCTGGCAGTGTTCAAGAGGCATCTTGAACAGAGGATGAGGAGCTACGAGATATGTTTAGTGCTTATGGTAGCAGTGGTAATGGGAGGATGGTTGGACTAGATGACCTTGTGGGTCCTTTTCAACCTTGTGATTCTGTGATTAATTCTGAGAGACTGTGGGCAGATTCAATTTTTGACCAACAACAGAAGTCTGAAGCAAAAATACCATTGGTCTGTGCCAGCTGCAATGCATCTTTACTGTCCTGGAGACTCCCACCTGTAATCAAAAACTGGAAAGAAGAAGTACTGTCAGGATGTTCTGCTTTGAATATCAAGCAGAATGTTTAAGAAAACATTCAGAGAGAACTAAAAGTCTAGGCAGAGAACACAACAAGACAATTATTAATGTGCATATATAACAAAGCTTCATACATCAGTAACAACGAGATTTCCTAAATCCCCAGGACCCAGGAAATACAGTAGGTAACAAAGATAGATTTTTTTTTTTTTTAAATCAAATCACCTTATATCACCATAAATCTGCAGATATAGACAAATATAAATATTTTCAGATTAAGAGATTAAGTTTTCAGGCAAGCAAACACAGTTTGGGATGGGGCAGACTTCTGGCACTGCATGGCTCCGTCCTTTAGATAAGAGGCTTTCAGCAAACTGCCAAGTGCTCATTCCTCCTGCCAAGGAGGGTTTATTTAATATTTCTAATACACCAGCAGAATAGTTCACAACAGCATCCAATGTGTTGTATTTTAACTCTTATCTTTGCCTTGATACTTCATTGATTTTAGAGATGCATAGAGGCATACAGTAGGCAGACTACAACTAAATAATGTGGTCCAAGGCACACAAGTTAAAAGAGTTACAAACCTGCTCACTGTTACGGAGTTTCAATATGTGAAAGCTACCATTTACTAGCAGTCATTCAGATATCACAACCACACAAGCTTATAGGTACTTCTACCTTTTCTGCAGTCGCCAATTACCTTTATGTATCAAAGTATCTGCATATTCACAGCCATCAGACCCTTTTTGAATATTTGCCCATGCACTGGTAACTGCAAAGTGAGTCACCTAAAACAGGACAATGTATCTAACATGAAAACTTCTGTAATGATTTGCTACAGTATGTAGCAGGAGAACATCTTTCCACTGAAAATGTACAATTAATCGTGGATCATACACAACAGCACTGGATTAAAATCATTACTGCCTAATGATCAGTGCAAATTAAAGACAAGGCTCTCGGCATGGAAGACTTCCACATTACGGTAGTGAAGAAAGTTGCCATGTTTTCCTTTGCAACTTGTAGAATTGTTTCAATAGTGGAGCACTCCAAAAACATAAAAAGCAGGATAAAATGTGTAGAAAATACCAACTGTGAGGAATTACCTTTTTAACACCAACTTTGACAGCTCTCTCTACCACATCCAAAAGGTCATCTGCAAAAGCACACAGAAACATCACATACTGAACTTCATAAGTTTCAGGAGCCAAGTAAACTCCTTTTGAACGTAAAATTACATTCACGCGGTGCCACCACATACACACACACACACACACAAAAAAAAGACTTGGAACCAATAGCGAGAACCACAGAAGGGCAGGGCTTGGAGGAGCCCTCAGAGCCGCCCAGCCCCGCCCCGCTGCGGGAAGATTCCCGCCCAGCTCAGCTGCCCCACAGCACCACAGGGATGGGGGCGGCCGTGCCAGCCCACACAGCTTCCTGCTTCGTGCCTTAACACGGAACGGACAGCCAGACTCGGAGGAAAAATGAATAAATAGGAAGTTCGAACATGAAGCAGTACGTACCTTGATGTTTTCGCGTTCCCCTGTAGATCCCCCTGAACACGGGGTCCGTGAGGTTAACGCCGATATCTGCCAACAAAAACCCCGCAGATGTACGTGGGTTCATTCTGAGGAGCAGCAACTCAAAGCGCACCTCGGCGGCCCGAGGGCACCGCACTGACAGCGCCCGCCAAGCGACCCGAGCCGCCCCTCCAGCACGGCCACCCCCACACGAAGCCCACACTCCCCCTCCTCACACCCCGTCCCGCCGCCCCCTCACCCACGAGCTTGGCGCGGCTCATGGCGGCGGTGGCGGCGCGGCGCATGCGCAGTGCCGTACCGTCCTTCCCGTCAGCCCCGCAGGTCGGCGAGACATGGCGGCCTACCTGACGCACCAGCAGAAGGTGCTGCGGCTGTACAAGAAGTCCCTGCGGCACTTGGAGTCTTGGTGCATCCATCGGTGAGGAGGGGAGGGCTGGCGCGACGCTGGGAGCGGTGCCGGGCCCGGTTCCTGTGCGCTCGGCGGCCCCGCTGCGTTTTGTCCTTCGTCCTCAGCGCGGGGCGGGGAGCGGCCGCTTCGGCCCAGGGTCTGCGGCCCGGCGCTGCCTGCGTGTGTGACGTTTTGTTTGTGCCTCCCGTGTGCTTAACTTGTAGGGACAAGTACCGCTACTTCGCCGTCCTGCTGAGGGACCGCTTCGATAAGAACAAGGATGTGAAGGACATGGTGAAGGCAACCGAGCTGCTGAGGGCGGGAGAGGAGGAGTTCTGGGCCAACCAGCACCCCCAGCCCTACATCTTCCCCGACTCACCTGGCGGCACGTCCTATGAGAGATACGAGTGCTACAAGGTAGGTGAGGGGCTGCTGCGGTGCTGTGTATGATAGCTGTGCTCCTTTAGGGAGAGGAAAGGGGGGTTGATTGCAGGATCTCAGAATGGCTTTGGGCTGGAAGGGGCTTCAAAGCCCCCCAACCCCTGGCTGCATCCTACCAGCTTGGTCTGCCCATCCGACCTGGTCCTGAGTGCCTCCAGGGATGGGGCACACACAGTTTTGTGGGCAGCTGTGCCAGTGCCTCACCACCCTCTGAGTAAAGAATCTGTGCCTCACATCTAACCTGAAACTTCCCTCCTGTTTATAAGCTCCCTTCAAGTACTGCAGTGCCCCAGTGAGGTCTCCCCAGATCCTTTTCTTCTCCAGATGGAACAAGTACAGTTCTCTCCACCTGTCTTCATAGGAGAGGTGCTCCAGCCCCCTTAATAGCCATCTTAATAGCCTTGCTCTGGACCCTCTAACAGCTCCACATCATACTTTTCTGGGGCCCCCAGACCTGGAGTAGTGCTGCAGGTGGGCCTCGCAAGGGCAGAGAAAGGGGGAAGAATCACCTCTCTCCCTTCTGCCATCCCTCTGTTGGTGCAGCCCAGGATGCTGTTGGCCTTCGGGGCTGCAAGCACACACTGCTCGTTCTGTGGTTTTTCATCTACCAGGACCCCTGAGTCCTCAGCAGTGCTATAATAAGGCTTCAGTGGGGCTGCAGTTTGATTCACCAATATTTCTCTAATACTGTAGTGCTGTAAGTCTTACAGCTCGTGTGGGAGGATCTTGCTGTGCTTGGGTGATCCTTTCACATGGAATTTGCTTCTCTGTCAGCTGTTTTGGCGTTGCTGGACAGCACGTGA